CTGCTGAACGCAGCTATTGTCTGCTGAGATAGGACCATTCTTCTAGATCTAAAAGTATGATCCAATCAGCTCGAAGGAAACTTCAACAGTTGCAAAACGAACGTTCTGCTGAACGCAGCCAATATTGTTGCACAGTGTGGAACGCCTTTAACTTTGACGCCTGACGGAATCCGTTTATTTCTTTCTCAAGAGGTAAAATAAGCAGACGATGGCACGGCTTGTTTCAAAATCGACCGAATTGGTAAAACGTACGGACAATATTTTAAATATTCTATCGTTATACATTTATCATAAACTATTTCAAGCAAAAATTAATCTTGCAACTCGTACACCACGTATTATGTAACATTTCGTATTAAACCTTCGTGTAGTTACACACGTAAACCTATATATATATCGCAATAAAATTTTTTTTTCTTGATACTTTCTGTCAAATGTCTTGTTAAATCGCTGAATCTTGTCTGGCAATTAATTTTATACTATGTCGAGGTTATGTTTTTTTACAACAATCGAGACAGTACAAAATTTTTTATCATAAAGCTAATCATGTAACATTTTCCCTAGCACGTGAAAATTTTTGTGTATGTAAATACACATTTATATGTATGTAAATATTATAAAATAAATTTCCACTTTTTACATTTCTGCTCTAGGGAAAAAATTACATGAAACCTCCAAAAGAATAAGCTACATCAATCCACATGAAACAATTTAAAAGAGAAGTTAAATTAGGGCCATTTTTTGGCTAAAATGAAAAGGTTCTGAGATATACAAATTATATCAAACAGCTACTCAAGTGAACTCGAATGATATATCGTTTATCTTGGGGAAATATCATGGAACCAGGATCATGGAAAAATTCGCCTATGAAATTCTTAAATTTATATCTAAAAAAAGTGACGACAGAATTTTTTCAATAAATACACATTTGTTCAGGGTACATGATAGTAAGACACGTGCTAGAGGTATTAAAAGTATTTAAAAAAATAATGATAACGCTTTTCATGTTTTATTAGGGCTGCGTTCCTCCTGTCCACTTGACGCTCATAACGCTCACGACCATTGTTTGTTCTTGCTTTTTGATAAACAACCAGGATGAAATGATTCCACTGGCGTTAAAAGCATCTATAATACACCTGCGTATTCTATTCCTACTATGCCTTCGGTATACATATAAAGATTATAACAAAACAGTGGCATACAATTATGACTTCAAACTGTACGTCTTACAGTATCTCTTCTCAAAAGAAAGTGTCTGCGAGCTTAAATAATACAATCCTTGTTACTCAATTCTTATCTTACTTTTTCTTACTTTTTCCATAAATTTAGCATAAATGATAGATTTATTTCTTTTGATCATGATTTCTCCTATGTTCCCGACGTTTCCCCAAGATAAGCGATATACCATTCAACTTGACTTGAGTAGTTGATTAATATGATATATAATTTATGTCTCGGAACTTTTTCATTTTGGCCTAAAAACGACCCTAACTCAACATCTTCCTTTCTTTGGCTATGTTCCTTTACTGTCAGCTTTACAGCACATATACCATAGATTTTCAATTTCGGAACACTGTCTTCGAGAATGAATTTAAAAAAATACAAATATAAGAATATGAATATATTCTTAATTTACTGAAAACTTACCTAACTCTTACATGAAATATTTCATATCTCAGACTGAAAAAATTAAAAAAATTAACTTAGAATTTTTGTAATTATATACATATATGATGTGTATGTAGCAAAAAAGCATATGTATATACACATGAGATTTGTATTTAAAGAATTAAATAAAACTAAATAATATATACGAATTTTTTTTTGCAGTTGGTGTTAATCATGCAAAGCCTGTACTGCAAGTATGGTTGCAGTATGCCAAAGTAGAACTGACGCCACCCACACTAAAAGATGTCTCTGCAATTCGTAGTGGATTTTCACAGTTGATCCATTCTGCACGGACTGGGCGTTATCGTGATGTGACTGTGCGTGAAGGTATCATAAATACCTTAGTAGCTGCTGAAATATATTGCTGGTTCTTTGTTGGAGAATGTATCGGAAAGCGACATATTGTTGGATATAATGTATAAGTACATATATAATCTTATACAGAATCCTGTATAAATTAGACCTACTCGTAAATATACAAAAATATAAATTAAACATTTCTTTCAACAAATATTGCAATGTAATACATCTTTTGTTTTGTTGAAATACATTTATTTAATAACGTTATCTTGTATTTTATAAATGTAGAAAAATTATTTTAATACATGTTGGTTCGCATATTGCCATATGCAAATTGCAGCAGTAACATGGACATTTAACGATCGTGTTACACCAACTTGAGGTATTTCTACACATTTGTCAAAAAGTGGTATAAAATTAGCTGGTATACCATCCTTCTCATTTCTACAAAATAATTTTTAATTATATTCTCAAGACTTTTAAGTTTTCATGAGTCGACATTTAATTACCCTAAAACGAGAATGGTCCTTTTCTCAAATGTTGTTGTCATCAGATTTGTACTATTGACCGTTTGTTCTACCCCAATTAAAGACCATCCTGTATTCTTCCTGTCTAACAAGAATTTCTGTAATTCATACGGCTTTACCTAAGAATTTCAAAATATTGTAGCGTTCTTCGAGAAATCTGAATCAATAAATTTGATAAATAATTTTCAAAAAAGTAAATATTCCAAAATTTAAATATTTTCAAATCATCTTTAAGGCTCATGTTCACTCACTATTATTATCTCAGATTGTGACGTCAAGCGATCGATTATGGATCTTGGAATGAGGTCAAATTATATAAAAATGAAAATAAGAGGAACAATCTCCAATGACCTTGATCTTGACAAATGTTATCCATAGACATTCAGGATTTTTTAGCTGTTTGTCGGACACCTCGGGCAGCCGCATTAATGCTAATGCCGGCGGTACTAACAATAAGTCTGATAACCCTCAATAAGTATAATACTGATTAAAAAAACCTATTAAAATTTTTTAGTTCACAAGGCCAGTTATTAGATTCTGGAATAAAAAAATAAGATGTTTTGTTTAAAAAAAGCGATGTGACCTTTTATCCTTCTATTTAAATTGTCTTTATTTACAAATGGCACGTAATCAAAATTAATATTTCTCGCTCCTGACGTCATGATTCAATATGGCTGTGATGACTACTCGGGAGCTTTAAGATTGCCGATATTTGGCACTGTCAATAATTAGGCCATTTACTCTATTCAAATATAATTTCAAAGAATTTATTTCTTCTGACAATCTGAGATAATACTGGTAAATGAACAACTTAATACATTTTTAAAAACTAAAGACTATGTATTGATTTAAAAAAATGAAATTGTTTATATGCCAAATTGCAGAAAATCGTTGTTTACAACTTTTTAAATATATATTTAAGAAATAAGCTATTCAAGTACCTGCAGGATATTTAACCATTTATCAGCAGAAACACTAAGATACTGAAACTCCTTGTCTTTTACACAATCTGCATTCGCAACGACTAGTGCTTTAACTCCAAATATCTCGCATGTCCTAGCGATGCCGCCTAAATTCGGCGGTCGTTCAATAAAAGAAGCTACAACTATTAGACCTTCCTGCAACTGTGTATCTTGCAGAAACATGAATTTATTTATTACTTCGAAAATATCACCACATAAACCTATAGGCTTTGATGGATCGATCTTTTTCTGAATATCGTTCAAACCTTCCATATAAATTTCAACATTATTTTCTAATGAATCGCCGTGTGTATCACCTGTAACGTAATTATTTTACATCTTGCAATATTTTAACTTTACCGTTTTAATTTATTACCTGCAAAAGATTTTGTCAGATATACGGAAGGTGTACTTTTAATCAGAAATGAACCTGCGTTA